TAACAAAGGTAGGGGAACCTCCACACGTTTCCCAGTCCCACGCAGTATCCAATGCAGGAGAGCAGGAACTCATACTTTCCACCCCACTGCTCCCTCTGGACAATCGGTGTTGGAGTAGGTAGTTGGCATTCAGACTGTGGCTGTGGTGTAGGTGTACTTGGCGGGTTGAAACCATTTTGTGTGACTGTATTTCCATTCATATGTACTTTATTCTAAAAACAACAACAACAACAACAAATTACATTGTTAGGATGTTGAAATGAGAGGGGAAATACATGGTAACTCTGATGTAAATACATATGAGGAACTGACTGTGACTGACTGTTCTGTTCTGTTTGCTTTTGTCTGACAAGGTTTGTTTGCAGTTTGTGGATTACACAGTCGAGTACAAAAACCAAGAACAGGCGCACACACTTAGCGTGTGGTTTAACTTTTCTATCTCCTTAAAACCGTCCACTGATCTATTGCTTCCTGTTCCTCTTCCTTCCTGCGCACCATCTACCTCTAAACAAAGGAGGAACTGGTTTTGATGTTCGCACACACAGGGAGGAAGTCTGATGAAGGTAACAACAGGGCTTCTGCTTTAAGCATTGTTACTGCATTGTTATATAGTTCACGTTTCCCCCCCATTTTTAAACACATTGAACGCCAATGTATTATTGCATAAAAACAAACAAACTGCATGAACATGAGGATGATTTGCTTCTGTAAAAGAAGTTGCTCAGTTGAGTTCTCATGCTGTTATCTGGATATTAGCATTGTCATTTATCATCATTATGTGCACGTTTCTATAGCTACTGAGGATGTACAAGGCCTGTTTAAAGTTTAGCAAGTATTATAATATATTTTTTTGTTCTTTTTACATAAGGGGAGCAGGTCTTGATAAGTGTTAAACTTCCATCTACTCCTTTTTGTACTTAAAAACATTTATTGACACCATCAAGCAGTTTTTTGTATTTTTTTAATTTTGTATTTGTATTTTTTCGTTTGAATTAAACTACATTGCAACTTTTGAGCCCATAATGTAGCATGTCTGAGATATTTTGTATGACTGGCTTTTACACACTTCATCAAACAGATATGATGTGGACAATCTGATGCACATGGTAAAATCTGTTGGTCAAAAAACAAAACAAAACTTCTTTAAGGTTACAGTTACTCTTGTTTCTTGTGGTGATTACTATTCTTCGACGATTAAAATCCAGATATATTTTATAAGTTGTCCAATTGAGATTTAAAGAGTGGGGGCTTAGAATAACAAGTAGCAGCAATCATTTTCAATTATAACCCCCCAAACACCCTCACAGTCACTTAATATACCACAGCCACACCTCAGAGGAAAACGAATCGTTTTATTTCCCGTTTCTACACATTTGCTGCACTGTTGAACCAGTCTTTCTAGCTGAGTACTCATTGTGCATGTGTGATGTACACAGCGGGGAAAAGTTAAGGTAAACACAACTGCTGAACAACTGAACCGAGGCAAGGGCTTTATCTGCTGCAGACGAAGAGGAAAAGCCTGAGAGTAATGCAGGCGGACAGGTTGGACCGCCTCATCTGAACACGGTATCTTTCAGACAACTGAAAGCGCCCGTTGGTGACATTGAACTGCTCGTAACGGGCTTCTGGGGTTACATCAGGACGCTAGCGTGTGTCTTACACCTGTACAGAGTCCTGTATGATGCGGTGAAAGCCAGAATAACAAAGTTGCATTGCTCCTACCTGCTCTGCGGTTGTGCCGCTGTCTCCAGCCGGGTTCCCGGAGGCTGCTTTGTCGGTTGTGTCCTGCATTTTCCCCCACTCTCCCTCCCGACAGAGGTGGCCCTTCGCTGTCCGGTTTGTCACTCTTCACTCCGCATTTCACAGGGGAAAGCGGTTTTTTTTAGGACTCCGTGATGTGGTGGCTGAAGTTGAAAAAGAAGCGCTGTAGCTCAGACACAACAACAGAGTGACGAGCAGGAAACAAACCGGTGGGCGGTGAGGTGACGAGGAGACAGGAGGCAGGGCGCAGGTGCAGCTTTATCCAGGAGGAAGACACCTCCTACTCCTTCTCCTGTACCTTTGGGTGGGAACTGGAAGAGTGTCGATAGCTATGCTAGTGTTTACGTTTCGGTGCTGTGTTTTACATGTCCTTTACATTAATTTGAGTTTTCTGCAGTGTACGCCCTGAGCCTGTCTGACAGATACCATCAAAGGCTGACCTCACCTCTGTGTGCACCTGCAGCCCACCAACAAGAGACCAAATTAAAGATGTATACTTAAAAAAAAAAACCCTACTTTGAAATCAATGAATCAACATAAGGCTCGCTTACATAGTATTAGCTGCACACAAACATGATTCTGGTCCTTAAATACATCAGTTAAAACATTTATTTTTCTTTAGCGTGGCGCAAAAAAAAACAGTTTATTTTGTCCAATTTTCATAAATGTCTCTTTCTTGCTAAGCGTAGCAGCACATGAAAGCCTCCTGCCACACACAGTTAAGTGAGAGATGCTAACACAAGGTTACGTTATATCTGCTAAGTTTTTATTTATCTGTATGTAAGTTTCTGCAATATACAGGGTTTTGGGGTTTTTTACGAGCTACCAGGTTCTTTTGCTCAGTTAATCCAACAAGCAGGACACATATTTATACCCCTAACCCTTATTTAAATTAATGATTAGAAACCATATGTGTGTTGTGTTTTTAATCTAATAGATTTTCAGAGTTGTCATGTCTGTGTGATATTGAGCTGCCATCAGGACTAGGGCTGTTTTATTACCAGCACAGGCTAATGAGCCCAAAGAACCAGACCAACAGCAGGAGTTGGTTTCAAGAGGTTGATATGATACTTAGTGTGGGGTGTGGGGGGGTCTATGTGACAATGGTCTAGTCTTGCTCAACTGGTCTGATTTAACATTTAATTAACGCTAAACTCCATAAGTAATCTTCACCTATGTGCCACACATAGTTTGTGATATTGTCGAGAATAAATAGAGAATAAACTGTACCCAAATGGGTAATTTAGGAGAATAGACTGGACTGGGACACTTATCAACAAAAATGCTTTGTAAAATTGCAGTGATGGAAATACTCTTAGCTCTACGGCACAAGTTGGCAAAAAAATGAATGAAAATGACCTCCTATCAAATAAATGATTTGGTCTATATATAACAGTATAACAGTAGTCTCCCTATTCACACTGCCCAACTAAAGCTCACCCTGAAAAAGATGAAACGTCAAAGATCATCACCAAAATACTGACTTAATTCTGAGTGAAGAATATAAGAAAGCAACTCAGGCCTGGTAGTATGTTTAAAATTCTTTGGTTCTTTTCCACTCAGCCCATTTTACTTTGTTGTACAGATATACACCTAAATTATTTAGCTACCTAAATAAAAGTTTAAAAAATTAATAATAATAAAGTTGTATTAATACAAAATCCACTGTATTTAATTAAAATGATCATCAATAATGGATTGCATTTATATAGTGCTTTTCTAGACACTCAAAGCGCTTTACAATTCCACTATT